TATGTTGGAGGCAGAGTTTTGGGTTGGGCTACAAAGGAGGAGGTCATCTACGTATTGGAGGAGAAGACTTGGGGCTAGGTCAAGTGTCTGTAGGTCTTTTTGTAAAGCCTGTCCAAAATAGTGGGGGCTGTCTCTGAACCCCTGGGGGAGAACTGTCCATGTTAGTTGTTGGGAAACATGAGTCTCAGGGTCTTGTCAGGTGAAGGTGAAAAGGGGTTTGGGGGGTGGTTGGAGGGGGATGGTTAAAAAGGCGTCTTTGAGATCTAAGAGCATGAATTGGGTTGCAGACGGGGGTGTGGTAGACAGAAGGGTGTAAGAGTTAGGGACTACTGGGAATGTCGGCGTGATGGCCTCATTGATTTTTCACAGATCCTGGACCAGTCTCCAAGAGTTTTGTCTCTTCTTTACTGCCAGAATAGGGGTGTTGTGTGGTGAATGGGTAGGAATTAAGATAGAGGCCTGAAGAAGATGGTCTATGATAGGCTTAAGTCCCTTGTGGGCCTCCGGGGTGAGAGAGTACTATTGTTGGGTGATTACAGTCGAGGGGTCCTTTAGGGTGGTGTGGACTGGGGGATGATGTTTGGCTATGGATGGGTGATCAGTGTCCCAGACTTGGGGGTCTAAGGCGGGTTGATCTAAGGGAAGGTTAGGGGTGAGGGATAGGGATGGTCTAGGTGCCATCTGCATGCAGAATATAGAAACTCTATGGGAGAGGGGGGTGGCATGGTAATAAAGACTCCCAATTTGGAAAACAAATCTCTCCCTAGTAGTGCCATTGGGCATTATGAGGAAAGAGTGTATGAGGGTCGATTTTCTAAATTGACAGAGTAATGGAGGGCTGATTTTTGGCCTTAAGGGAACTCCAGAGACCCCCTTGATTGTGAGTTCTGAGTCTTGAGTTGGGCCAGAGTAGGAAGTTAAGAGAGAGAAAGCGGCTCCAGTGTCTATTATAAAGCAGGTCTTTTTTTCAGCCACTACCCATCTACCCTAAGTTCTGAACTCATGTCCGGGACACAGACCAGGGGGCTGGAACCCGGGCCCCATCATTGGAACAACTCTCGTAGGGTTGGGATGGGGTTTGGGGGAGAAGTGGGGATGTCTCCAGGGACACCAGGGTGTCCCTGTGGACATTTCACTCTCCAGGTCTGGGAGGTTGGGACCTCCCCAGGGGTGTCAGGGAATCCCTGGGGACAATACGCTTCTCAGTGTCCCCACTGACCACAGGTTGGGTATGATTTTGTGGGGGACCACGGGTTTGGGCATGGTTTTGTCCAGTGTCCTGACTGGTTGCATCGGAAGCAGGGTCTCGGAGGGAGTCTTAAGTTTTAGACTGGGATGACTTGGGCCAGGTTGATCTCTTCTCTTAACTGCTGCTGCCAAAAGGGCATATTTAGCTTTTCTCTCATGGTCTTTTTCTCTCTTAGCCTCTTCCTCTCGATTACTGAACACTTTGAAGGCTACTTCTAGAAGATCTCTTTGGGGGAGAGGGTGGGTCTCAGGGCACTTTTCTAGCTGGCGTAGTTTTCAGCAAATATCGGGGGCTGATTGGCTTATGAACTGGACTTGTAGGTACCCAAGTCTGCCAGGGATGGAAATATCTAGATTAGTGTGATTTTGGACTGCCTCAGGAAGCCGTGAAAGAAAAAGGGCAGGATTTTTATCTTTTTTTTTTTTTTTTTGAGTCACTTCCCTAATCTTATCGTGGTTAATATGAATGTGAGAGCTTTTTAGTATTTTTTCTAGTAAACAGGTGACCATGATGCAGGTACTGGATGTCGGCACCGCCTGTTTGATATGTCCACCATGGCTCAGTTAAAGGGACTATATCATCAACCATCAGATTAGTCTTATCTTGGTTATGGAGCTGATCAGCATGAGTCTGGGCTGTCTGTCATATCCGTTTCTTTTTATCAGGAGTTAAAGTGGCATTTCAGTTCAGTTCAGTTCAGTCACTCGGTTGTGTCTGACTCTTTGCGACCCCATGAATCTCAGCACGCCAGGCCTCCCTGTGCATTACAAACTCCCAGAGTTTACTCAAACCCATGTCCATCAAGTCGGTGATGCCATCCAGCCATCTCATCCTCTGTCATCCCCTTCTCCTCCTGCCCCCAATCCCTCCCAGCATCAGGGTCTTTTCCAATGAGTCAACTCTTTGTATGAGGTGGCCAAAGTACTGGAGTTTCAGCTTCAGCATCAGTCCTTCCAATGAACACCCAGGACTGATCTCCTTTAGGATGGATTGGTTGCATCTCCTTGAAGTCCAAGGGACTCTCAAGAGTCTTCTCCAAGACCACAGTTCAAAAGCATCAATTTTTCGGGGCTCAGCTTTCTTCACACTCCAACTCTCACATCCATACATGACCACAGGAAAAACCATAGCCTTGACCAGATGGACCTTTGTTGACAAAGTAATGTCTCTACTTTTCAATATGTTGTATAGGTTGGTCATAACTTTCCTTCCAAGGAGTAAGCGTCTTTTAATTTCATGGCTGCAATCACCATCTGCACTGATTTTGGAGCCCCCAAAATTAAAGTCTGACACTGTTTCCAACAGCCTCCCCATCTATTTCCCATGAAGGGACGGAACCAGATGCCATGATCTTAGTTTTTAGCATGTTATAAAGATCATTTTCGGTTAAATGATATGTGTGAGGCAGAGGAATTTTTTCTGTATCTGGTAGGATTTTTTGAAAAGGATCCCAGTTTTGTCAATTTGGCTCATATCAGAAATCAAGAAAGGCATATGAACCCATGTAGGGCCCTCTGGTCCCACTACCTCTCTGAGAGGAAATGTGTTTGCTTCAGGTCCTGGCCAGTGGAGGTGGGGTGGAAATCTTTTGGGGGGTTTTGGAGTCATCACTTTCTGGTTTTGGAGGAGGAAGGGCTAGAGGATGGGGTCTCATCTCCAGAAGCTTTTTCTCCAGGGCGGTAGGGAGGAGGCTCATGTGTCTGGTCAAAATTGGGGGCTAAGGGTTTTAGATTTGGATTCTTTTGTAATGGAGGGGGAGAGAGAGCAGAGGAGGATTTGATAGGTAGAACAGTCTTTGTAGAGAGAAGGACTGCTTTTAAGATCTCAGAAGGCTTGAATATAGGGGACCTTTGGCCATTTGCCATTCCGTTTGAGGAAGTTAGTGAGATCTGATAAAATACTGAAATTGAAAGTCCCTAACTCAGACCAGTGGTTTTGGTTGTCTAATTGGTATTGAGGCCAGATCTGTATAGAGTTGTTTTAAGCGGCTAGCTTTGAGTTCAGTGAGTGAGAGTGGTCTGAGATTTTTGAGAACACAGGCCAGAGGGGAATCTTTAGGGACAGATTGGCCAGACCCCATAATTGAAAGTCAAGCAGAGGCTTCTATTGGGAACTTGAGTCGTCACCCGTAGTTGCAATCGGAGTTACGAGAAGAGAGCTCTGTGTCGAGGTGGAGCATCCCCTACTGTCGTCTACAGAGTGGCCCTAGGCCAGGGATCCCTGGGACCCAGAGAGGACTGGGTTCTAGGGCGCCTCTAGAACACCGTCCGGATCTTACCTTAATGTAGGGGCCAGCTCGAGTGGAATGTTGCATGTAGAGTGGTCGAATGGCAAAAGGCCTCTGTCCTGGAGTTGGTCGGTCTCATGGAAAAGAAAGTGTAGAGAAAAGAGGAAGAGAGAGACAGGCCAATATTTGTCGGGTTACGTGGAAAACCTATAAAGCCCTTACACAGGACTTGTACCGTTCACGAAGGCACAGGGTGTCCTCTTGAGGAGGTCTTGAAAGCCCGGGTGGGAAAGTGAGCTCGGCAGGCTTCCACGCTCTGAAGAGCTGGCTGTGGAGAACGAGAAGGAACCTCAACCTCCCAGGTTTCGGCGCCAAAAATGTAAGGTAAGCGAGTTAGAGAAGCCGAGGTTCAGAAAAAGAACCAGACCAGCACTTCACAGGAACAGATCACCTTTAATGAGGCAAAAGGGGGCAGCAGTCAGATTAGTGAGCTGCTGCACTTACCCAAGAAAAGAGTGAATATATATAGGCATGTATGTGGAAAGTTATTGTCTTAAGGGGGCCTGTTCTTCTCCAAGGTTGTTTGGAGTAGTTATCTCTTAAACAGCTGGGGCAAGGAATTTTGGAGATCGGCCAGAGGCTGGACCAGCTGGGAGCTGGACATAATCAAACTTAATGTCCTTGTTTTCCCTCAGGTGAGAGACTTCTTTGTTTTGCATAGAATGGTGGGGGGACCTGGAGGGGAGTTTTAACTCCAGGCTATTTTGAGCCCTGTAACTTTCCTTCACCCATCAGCAGGGTCTTTTCTAATGAGTCAGTTCTTCGCATCAGGTGGCCAAAGTATTGGACTTTCAGCTTCATTATCAGACCTTCCAATGAATATTCAGAACTGATTTCCTTTAGGATTGACAGGTTTGCTCTCCTTGCAGTCCAAGGGACTCTCAAGAGTCTTCTCCAACACCACAGTTCAAAAGCATCAATTCTTCAGTGCTCAGCTTTCTTTATGCACTCTCAAATCCATACATGACTACTGGAAAACCATAGCTTGACTAGATGGATGTTTATTGGCAAAGTAATGGCTCTGCTTTATAGTATGCTGTCTAGGTTACTCATAGCTTTTCTTCCAAGGAGCAAGTGACTTTACAGAGGAAATAATTACCTTAAGTTGGATACAATAGCCATGTCATCCCACAACTGGAAAAGCACATGTGGATTTCTGATGTACCATGTGATCCTACAGAATGATTAGCTGAGTGGTGAGATGAAGTTCATACATGCAAGGAATGTCCATCAGGGAAGGTGATGGGCTTGTTGAACTCTCTGCCAATAACTGGTACTGGTGGGTAGAATCTCAGTGCCTCCTTGATGCACATGGTGGTGTAGGGCATCTGGTCCAGATGGTCCCCAAAAGGAGGTCCCCATCTGAGGTCCAAAAGGTCCCCATCTGAGGGCAATCCAGACTGGACAACGAGGGATTCTCTCTACCTCAGGTGGGACAGGATTCTTCCATCTCCGGGACACTCATCAGGTGATGGAGGTGCCACCCCCCAGGAGGCTCTGGATCTCGTCCAGGCACCTTTGCTGATGCACAGGGTGGGAGACCAGAGCATAGAGGATCCAGGAGATGCCACTGGCTGTGGTGTCATGACCCTTGAACATGAACTTGTCCACCTCGGCATGGAGGTCCTTGTCAGATAAGCTGCTCACATTCTCCATCTGTGGAGGCAGGGCCAGAGTGCAGGGTCTGCCCTTCCTGTGTGCTTCTGCCCAAAGGCTCAGGCCTCTCCTGCCCACACTCACTCTGTCTAAGAAGACGATGTCCAGGAAGTCCAAGGGCCTGCATTTCCTCTCCTTCTCTAGTTCTCCCTCCTTCTGCATGTGAGACTTTCTCCCCTTTATCACTGCATCTGTCCCAGAACAGTGGTTCCCAGCCAGAGCTCAGGACTCTGGGGGCCCAGATGCAGCCTCACCATAGCCCCAAATTCTTATCTCTATATGGTAGTAGCACATGTGTGTTGAAGTGTGTGTCACATGGGTAATAATGTGTCCATGTGTCTGCAAGAGGGAAAAGGCTTGGCTGTATAAGGGAGTTTCAGCACGTGACAATGTTTTTGTACACTTCCAGTGTGTAATGTGTGTGTCTCTGGGATTGAACACTTTATTCTGGGGGGCTGTGTCTAACGGATGTTTGACGGATATATCTGTTTGAGAGTGAACTGTGGATTGAGCTTGTTGTGATATGTGCAGATGAGAGAGGTGGACTCACCACCATCAGTTGGACAGAGTAGGCCAGGAGCCCCACGGAGGACTTCAGGATGTCATGGTGGAAGGCTGGGGTCAGCATCCGCCGGTACTGGAACCACATCTGCCCCTCCAACAGGAGAAAATGATTCCCTGACCACAGATGGGTGTGTGTATGTTGGGGGGGGGGGGTGTCTGGGAGACTGGATCAGGGGGGTGACTGGGGACTTCATAGGAGGAACCAAGATTTTCAGAAGGAGGTATGTGACAGGAAAAGGCAGGAAGGCCAGTACATTTCAGGAAAGTGAATTTCCAAAATGGCTGTTCCATTGAGATGTGACAGTTTGAGATAAATGTTGAAAAAGAGTAGGAGAAGCAAGGACCTATGGTATAAAACGAGGAACTATGCTCAATATTTTGTAGTAACCTATAAGGGAAAGGAATCTGTATCCTTGTGCTGTACACCTAACACTGCAGAACAAGGTAAATCAACTACATGGGAATAAAAGGTTTTTAAAATGAGTTATAAAAAACTCATATATGTTTGAAATTTAATCACATTCTGAAAACATTTAAAAATCTCTTTCCTTTGATAGTTGTTATTACTTGTGCATTGTACAGAAAAAAGTAAGAAAACAGACATCTCAGAAGTTTTATCCATAGTGATAGGTCATGAAAGAATCTCCTCCTTTCTACTATATGAAGAATAATATTGTGCAGCTTATAGTGTTATATTTTGAATGAAAAAATTTTTAAATTTATTTTAGTCTGTTTGGTTGTGCTGTGTCTTCTTTGCTACATGCAGGGTTTCTCTATTTATGGTGAGTGGGGGAACACATCTGGCAGTTAATAACAAGAGTTCATGTTACTAAGAGTACTTGTTATCTCTTATTCTTTAGATCTGAGAAAATACTTCAGAGGGTTGTTGCTACTATCATGACAATTTATAATAATAATAATAATAGTACTATGAGCTGTCTTCCCTTCCTGACGACATTCAGCTATCAATTTGTCTCACCCACCACAAACTTTCCTCCCATCCCTGACTCTCTCAGGCTTCAAGGATGGCGGGTAGAGAGTCACACACTGATGCTGAAGGGCCAGTCTCCATTGGAATTTCACAGACCAAGTGGCATGTACCCAAGAGGGAAGATTTGCTCCTGCTGGCATGGGGGTTTCATTCCACCTATCCTTCGCAGGACCACCTTCATGTCGTCAGGGTCAGAGGTCACAGGGCTAACCTTGTTCACCTATAGAAATTGAAGATGAATACATGAGAATTTCTCTATCCTTTTCAGCAGCTGCTGCTGTTTCTGTTCCTCTAGAACTATAACAAGAGCAAAAAATAAAAAACAGCAGCAACTCTGTTTTAAGGTCAAGTGCTTGAGGTAAGTTTGAATGTTTACACAGGCATGGTGAGATGGTTCTGAATGTATCCACAGAGATCAAAGACTAGAAATGATAAGCCAGACTTCTAATATCTCTCCAGAACTTGGCCTAAGATCTGATTTAGTTTCCTTGTTTTTTTATCACTAAGAACTGCCATTAAACTTTATACACTATGAGTGCTTGACAAATGTTCAGGCATTAACTCCATGGAGTACAAAACATTTTCATAGGCTGTGTAATGCTCAAGGCAAACTTGTATGAGGGGGGATTATTACTTGATCTTGTTTCACTGAAGAATGAGGAAACTCATGTAAAGGATATATACCCAGGTGAGCTCATTTAAACCCAAAGCTGCTGACCCCAAGGTGTCCTTCCCAGGATTCCCAAGACTTCCTGGGTGCCTCTCTTGTCACGTTTCCATTCACTGTTCTAATTGCTCGGCATCATGTTCACAGGCTTGTCTTTCATGTCTATCATCCCTGTTTTAGAGTGAGTGTAGAGCATGTTCATAGGGATTCAGCCTCACTTTCCAAAGAAGCAATAAGTTAATGAAGAAGGAATGAGTACATGTAGGATTGATGAGTGAGTTTTAATACAAAATTCTGATTGCAAGTGTCAGATAGAGTCAGAATTAATGTAGGAAAGAAGGAAGCACACTAAAAAACCTGGGGCTCCAAGGGGCATCTCACAGAGCCTGAGGGCAAGGGCAGCCAGGGTGTGGAAGAGGAGAACCAGGGACTGGAGGGCTGCCAGGACTGCATCTCCCATTCTTTCTCTCTGTACATCCATGCAGTCGTCCCTCTGCAAGTGTCTGTGGAGACTCTAGCTTGAACCACAGTATTCTAGGGGTTGGTGATACAGTCATGAATCAACAGACACAGCTTCGGTGTGTCTGTCCTTGCACAGCTGGGTCTGGGCAGTGGAGAAGGGAATGTCTACCCTTCTGGGGTTGGCATGTTTCCCCATTCTGCCACCCTTAAGCCTGAGGGGCCCTGTTGAATCCTATTCTAAGACTCTGATTCTAATATCATGGCCAAGGTATCCATTTGTTACAATCAACTGTGGCTGGGGTGAATAGGCCTTCCAAAGACCCACCATTTGTGAGGGAAGAGATCTCAGAGCAAATGAGCTGGGCAGACATCCCATAATGTTTCCACCACAGTGAATATCAAGTACATGAAAGAGTAGGTGGGTAGATGACCTCAGTTATTCATTTATTTGATACCTATATGTTGAGGACTTACTTTGAATCAATTGCCATCTAAGGAGCAAGAGATTCAGCAGTGAGCAACAGAATCCTTGCCCTTATGGAGCTCCTGTTCTAGTGGGGGCTGACAATCCTGCCCTGGACTGAGACATGTCCTGCTTGAGTGCATTATGAGGGCTGCTCTGTGCTCCAAAGTCATGACCATCATTTGGTCTGCCTTATTCTACTGGTCCAGTGCAGGGACTGACCTTTAGAAGCTTCTTAACACATGAGCTATGTTACCTAGTTTTCTTGGATCTCCTCTAGTTGGCCCAGAGGACAAGGACATCTTTTCTGATTGCTTGGTGCTCAAGAAAGCCAGATGCCTGCAAATCCTTCTTCCTGGGCAAATCCTTTGTTCAACCCAATTAAGTTGGCATTCTAATTTCTAACTGTGCCAATAACAGAGGTATTGAAAAAAATCTCTGTAGTATAACAGCTAGAAATATTTCGTTGCAATTGCTATATTAGACCAGTAGAAACTGAGAGATCATTAAGTACCATGTGTTTCTGTTAGTAGCTCAGTCATGTCCTACTCTTTGCCACTTCATGGACTGCAGCCTGCCAACCTCAGGTGTCCCTGGAATTCTTATAAGTATTGAAATTCTCCAATATACTCCAAAGTATAATGGAGTGGGAGCTGTACCCTTCTCCAGGGGATCCTCCCATTTCAGTGATCAGACCCAGGTCTCCTGCATTGCAGGCAGATTCTTTATAATCTGAGCCATTCTCTTCTACCCAAAGCAATCTATAGATTCAATGCAATCCCTGTCAAGCTACCAATGGTATTTTTCACAGAACTAGAACAAATAATTTCACAATTTGTATGGAAAGACAAAAAACCTCGAATAACCAAAGCAATCTTGAGAAAGAAGAATGGAACTGGAGGAATCAACCTGCCTGACTTCAGACTCTACTACAAAGCCACAGTCATCAAGACAGTATGGTACTGGCACAAAGACAGAAATATAGATCAATGGAACAGAATAGAAAGCCCAGAGATAAATCCACGAACTTATGGACACCTTATCTTCGACAAAGGAGGCAAGGATAAACAATGGAAAAAAGATAAACTCTTTAACAAATGGTGCTGGGAAAACTGGTCAACCACTTGTAAAAGAATGAAACTAGAACACTTTCTAACACCATACACAAAAATAAACTCAAAATGGATTAAAGATCTAAATGTAAGACCAGAGACTATAAAACTCCTAGAGGAGAACATAGGCAGAACACTCTCCGACATAAATCACAGCAGGATCCTCTATGACCCACCTCGCAGAATATTGGAAATAAAAGCAAAAATAAACAAATGGGACCCCCAGGATTAGTAGAAGGAAAGAAATCTTAAAAATTAGGGCAGAGATAAATGCAAGAGAAACTAAAGAGACCATAGCAAAAATCAACAAAGCTAAAAGCTGGTTTTTTGAAAAAATAAACAAAATTGACAAACCATTATCAAGACTCATTAAGAAACAAAGGGAGAAGAACCAAATTAACAAAATTAGAAACGAAAATGGAGAGATCACAACAGACAACACTGAAATATAAAGGATCATAAGAGACTACTACCAGCAGCTCTATGAAAATAAAATGGACAACTTGGAAGAAATGGACAAGTTCTTAGAGAAGTATAACTTTCCAAAACTGAACCAGGAAGAAATAGAAGATCTTACCAACCGATCACAAGCAAGGAAATCAAAACTGTAATCAGAAATCTTCCAGCAAACAAAAGCCCAGGACCAGATGGCTTCACAGCTGAATTCTACCAAAAATTTAGAGAAGAGCTAACACCTATCTTACTCAAACTATTCCAGAAAATTGCAGAAGAAGGTAAACTTCCAAACTCATTCTATGAGGCCACCATCACCCTAAATACAAAACCAGACAAAGATGCCACAAAAAAAGAAAACTACAGGCCAATATCACTGATGAACATAGATGCAAAAATCCTTAACAAAATTCTAGCAGACAGAATCCAACAACATGTTAAAAAAATCAT